GCCTCTCAATCTGTCTCTCCAGTTAGTAGAAAGAAAACATAACCAACTTCACTGGTCTGTCAACATGCAACAAGTTCAAGATCTTAGCAAGTAATATAAGTAGGTAGTCAATAATTCACATTTCAAATACCCCCTTCTTCCAGTAATTTAAAAGGCCACCCTTACTGAAAAGGGAGGGGACAAAGTATCCTTTGGCCACTGGACCTCAGGATCCTGGGCTCCAGATCTATCTGTACAGTTATGCTGTCAAGAGACAAAGACCACCACCCACAAAGCACCTAGAACTAACCAGAAATTCTTCCTCCTTTTCTGAAGGCAAAGAATACTTACATGGTGTTGTGACAAGGCAGAGATTTGCTTAGGTTCTTACACCACTTTGCACAAACTCGAGAGGTTAAGCACCTTGCCCAAGGATATATAGGGGATGAATGGCAAGGCTTGGATCAAAATCAAGGTCTTAAATTCCAAAGCCTATATAGTCTTCCTCCTACAGTGAACCAAAATTACAGCAGATCACACACCACTCATCTCCAAGTCTATTCATCCAGATTCACTTATGGGAAAAGCCCCAGAAAAGAAATACAGAATTCATCTGTTTTCTGATGTCTTTAGGGAAGAAACATAAGCCTAGAGATTTTCCACCCCAATCTCGACCAGAAACGCTTGATGCAGAGGCACAACGGTTAAAGTGTGCATTCTGGTGCCGGACAGAACTGCAGTATCTACTCTACCACTCACAAGTCTGTTTGATCTTGGCCTTTCTTCATCAGTAAAATGGCAATAACCCAGGATAGGTTAAAAAGAACTTTCCTTAGCATGGTGCTGACACAAAGTAGCATTAAAAGAGCAGCTCTAATGGATATGGCCTCACTGAAGTCTGGCTGTTTTAACTTGAGGGTTTGAAGGTACACGTGTTACATTCTACCCTTACTGTAGTTATTAATCCTCAGCTGTCCCACTGCCTTAGATTCATTCACTCATCACATCTCTAAGTCTCCGTTGTTAAGCTGAGAACACATCTAGACCAGGCTCCTTGCTTGGTTCTGGAAAAGCCAACGGGAATAAGACAAGGCTTCTGCCCTAACGTAGCCCCAGTCTACTGAAAGGAACAGCCATGGAAACAAAATCAAAGTGGGAGAACAGAAGCACAATTCAAGGAAGGCTTAGAGAACGGGAAGAACCAGAAGAAAGCTTCATCACAGAAGTGGTGTTTGATTAGTCTTAAAAGATGATCAAAGGGAAAAACATGTAAGAGAGCATGGAGGTAACTGATTTAAAAGGCATGGCTAGAATAACTAACCCAAGAATGCAACCAGATCATGAGGACTTGCAATGTCATGCTGATTTCTAAATTCCCCTTGTAGATCAGAGGTTTTTTAATCAGTGAAGTGACAAGATCAGAAAGATTCCTCCAGCAGTCCCCCAAAAAAAACGGACCGGAAATAGGGCCAGCTCAGAACTGGGAAGCCAGAGAAGGAAGGAGATTACTCCAACACCCAAGCCCACGTTTTCCAGAGAGTCTTCCCTGAACCCGTGGCTAAGCTGCACTGTAAAATGTCCCTTCCTGCCCCAGAAAATCTTACACATACCACACTCTTACATTAGAATAAACCATCCAAGTATGTGTTTGTCTAACAAAAGAAAGCACTCTTTATTCATTTATGTATTCCCAGAGACGGCATCGAGTCTGCCACAAACCTGTCTGCTGAATGGCTAAATAAGGGGAAAAAAAAGTGTTTGTTGTTGAGTTCAGTTTAGACGTGGTCTTTGAGACAAATGGGACAGCCTGGTGGAGATGTCCACCAGAGAACAATGGGACATACATGTTTAACCGTCAAGAGGGAGGGTCTAACCTAGAGATACCGTTTGGAAGTAATCAGCTTACACAGGGGATGCTTAAGTCAGGTGCCCCTAGAAACACATGCAGAAGTAGATGGCTGGACTGGAATCCAGGGGAATGTAATTTATTTACATCAGTGAAAGAACCTGAGGAAAAGTTACCAGGCTGAAGCAGCATAAGAAAAAAGTTATGAAGAGGATAACTTCTAGAAGAGAAAAGAATGACTAGAGAAGGAATAATCAGAAAGGCAGACAGAGAACCACAAAACTGTCCATCTGAAATATTCTGTCTACATAAAAATTACGTACCGGTTATTAATTCTCAATGAATTTTGAATAACGTTCTTATTTTAGACAAGGATAACATTTTACAGCAAAAATCAATTTAGCGTGTATATAGTTCTTTGATTTCTGAGTCTAATACCCAGATGAACAGCTCCAGTGATACACAGAAAGTTAAGACAAGCGGGCCAAGACATGGCACTGGATTATACTCTTTACGCTTCGAAAACCGTTCGTCGATGTTTGATAACCATTAACTGATGTAGTTTTCACTGACATTGTTTACCTAAATCCCTCCCAGTAAACTTGGCTCCAAAGGTATCTTACTCATTTTGTCACACCCCCGTTGTTTACATGAAATGCTCTGAAATATCTAAAGTCTGTGCCATTTTTCTTTAAATAAAACACTTATTTTTAGGTATCTGCAGATGCATTAGGAAGAGGTAGTATTCCAAGTGGGTGTTTAGTAGGCAAAAAAACAAAAGTATGGGGTGAAAATTGTCCTCTGTTATAAAGGGGTAGGATATCAGGAGGACTATGGAAGAAAAGCAATAAATCAATATGACCTTCTACACTCATTTTTGCTTTGACTACAAACTCAAAGAGAAGTTGGCCTCCACATGTCCCCTCACTCCAAAAATGTCATTAACTTTGACTCCCCCTCCAATGTAGAAACCTCATTTATACTTCATAGATTTGGCTAAGCAAATGGTGTGCAAAACTGAATTCTGGCATAATATTTACCCTAAGTGAGATGTTTCCAAATATGTATTTTAAAAAATCATTTTAACAGTTTTCACTTCAATCTACAGACTATTCAAGAAAAAGATCATGAATACTTGGTTACACAGTCATTAATTTGCGTTACTATTTAGTTAACAAATGACTATTACTAGCAATCATTAAAATTACTTTCTTTAAATACTCGGCTACCATTCTCTCCAATACAATGATGTTCTCTCAACCAACTAGAGCAGAAAACTCAGAGTAACACTTCTGAAGGCTCTCTCAAGAGGCCCTATTACTTTGCCACAACACTGTTCTAACTGTATCAATTTGGTGTATGAACCCTAGTAACAGTATATTCTAGATTAGTACTACACCTTACAAATATACTGAAAGATTATTTTTCTACACAAAGCTTTATATTTAAACCATCTAAAACCCTCGTAAGTTAAACGTAAGTCAAAATTATAGATAGTGCCTTCCCTAAAACTACATCACTAAAACTCCAAAGTTTAGGAAAATAATAAATCACAGGTTGAACAGATTTAAGAAAACGTAAAGGGGTTGGAGGGGTAAGGTAGTTGACAGGCGGGGGCGGGGGCTAGCCTTTTTACTACGTACACTATTTTCATTAAGATTTTATAACAAATGTGACTTTCTTATTTCTTAAAAAGTATCTTCTAAAGTATAATACAGAAAAAGATACTTTAAGACAAGTACGGAATGAATCATAAAATCCACCTGACAATAAATGGAGAAAATCAGGATGCTTCAGGAGAGACAACTACATCAAACAATACCCTGAACTAAAATTAATCTGACAAACTATGTACACTGCTAAGAATTGCTTTTCCAAACCTAAGGGGAGAGAGACTGTGAAACGTTGTAATGCAATAGGAACACATCGACCTCTTCTTCTGCGTGAGTTTCAAAAGCTCTGATGGTGTAAGTATTTCACTGTGTTCGAAACTACATCCATACACTGTAGTCAATTTTCTTGCGATAAGTTTATCTGTTTTTGATTTGTCATAAATAAGCTAATAAATTGCAGGAAAGAAATAAATACCTCCACCTCTTTCCAATGCTATGTCTGATTTGGGTTTTAGGAAACAATCTAAGTTTGCCAAAGAAAATAAAAATCTCAGAAGCATTAAAGCTTCAATGAAACAGAAGGCCTTTGTACACATCCCACTGCTTTCATTAACAGCCTATTCTGGGCTAATGATCTACACTATGCCCCAGAAACATCTAACAGGACTCCTGACCTAACTCAGGGAGCTGCTTCTACCTGCTTAGGCACTCAGAGATGCATATTTTCCTCTTGGTTTCAACTACGTCTTATTTTATGTATACATCAGTACCAAATGCAGTCACACAGAAGGTAACTCTCCCGGTGCTCTCTGGAAGTCTGTGTTAGATAGCAGCAAGCAACAACAGACTTATCTGACTTCAATACTCAAGCTTCTCCGGTTTTACTCACACCCCCTTTAGCCTAGAATGCCTTTTTAGGGCAGATCTGACCTGGGGAAACAATGATGGGCCTGTCTACTGGCTGTACCTCTGACAGTCCAGACTATCAAACCAAGAAGAACCTAAGGGACGATACACATAAGGAAAGTCGATAATTCTGACATCTATCCATTCCTACTTGGGTCATCAACACTCACCCAGGCACACTAGATAACCAAGGGTGACAGAGGGAGCTCCCATGAGAACCAGCACAACAATTACCTGCCTCCCTTGTCTGGTCACTGACCAGGCTCTCCTAGCAATTATAAATGTAACAGAATTCTTAAGACACAAGAACTTCCATTTTAACTCAGAAAAAAGAAAACATGTACAATATGTTGTACAATATATAAATGCAAACCAATAAATTCTAATCAATGTTGCAGAAAGATTCTGTTATTTTAACACCAATAAGCTCAAACTAACTTTCTAAAAACATAGTATTTAGGATGGGCTGGCTGACAGTCCATAGAGTGCCCATATAAGTTCTTAGCTTACATTCTATTTAAACATTTCTAGAGTGAGTGTTTACTGTAATAGACAAAAAACAGAGAATTCGTCTGGACCTAACCCTCGATGTGAAAATGGGTCCACAGGCACACTCTTAACCATTTTTCCAAAGAAATATGTTTAAACGGCTTTACCATGCAGAGCTATGGCTTCCCGGAAGGGTTGCAAATCAGTCTCTACAGATGAGCTAGTTTCCGTTGAAGTAGCTCGGTTAGGGGACACTACAGTCAGTCTTGGGGGAGCTCTAGAGTTTCGCGGTGGAGGAACTTTCCCACACAGGAAGCTGATCAAATCTTCTCTACGTATAGTTCTTCTGCGTTTTTTAACCCAAGCCAACACATCCTTATTGCGTCGCTGATAGCCAATCTGAATTCCAATATCAAAACTTCGCTGATGGGTATCCACGCTTTCTGCGAAAAGAGAAAGAAAAAGCATATGTGATCAGTAGCACCATACTGTAATCTCTTTTAAAGAACACCACATAACAAGTTAATCAAAATGAATAATCACTTATCAAAATGAAGTATGGGGTTCTTTAAATCTCTTTTAAAGAACACCACATAACAAGTTAAAATGAATAATCACTTATCAAAATGAAGTATGGGGTTCTTTAAGTCTATCAGTAACCTATTGAACTGGAATGTATTTCACAGTCACGGTGGAAATGTTACACACATTCTTAATGGTCTGAATTCAAAGTTTACAGTCACATAGTTCTGAAGCTTCTGCCCTGTTCTTCCAAAAGTAATCTTTGAACAGACTCAAGTAGAGGGACTACTTAGCTTTAGCCAACCTACCAATTTAAAATGCTACTCCCTAAAATAACTTGCTTTATTTAGTAACAAGAACACAAATAAAAATAATCCTCAAATGATACAAACAAAAAATCAAGTTTTTTTCTGATTAAAAGTAGTAACAATGGCTCAATTATTAAGTGTTTAGGAGCCCCGGTGGCACAAGGTTAAAGCACTCAGCTGCTAACCAAACGGTTGGCAGTCTGAACCCACCAGCAGCTCCTCAGGAGAAAGATGTGGCAGTCTGCTTCCGTAAGATTAGAGCCTTGGAAACCCTGTGGGGCAGTTCTACTCTGTCCTACAGGGTCACTACAAGTCGGAATCGAATCAACAGCAGTGGGTTTGGTTTTCTGTCACATGAGCAGACTACCACCTTGAGACAAGTACTTGGAAAGGCAAAAACTGATGTACTGAGTAACTGCCCCAAGGTCACTAAATATAGGGAAGAGCTGGAATTTTACTTTAAAGCCCATGACAGCCACTAAGCTACACTGCTGTCCTTCAGAAAAAGGGTGAATTTTCAGGATGACACTGGCTAAGTAGGAGCATCATTATCATTCAACAGATGACTAACAGCGCAGACCATCACGCTTGCCTCATTTACCATGGCATTTTGGAGACGCACTCCTACTGACAGGCTCAGCACCAGGAAGCAGGGGCACCATAATGCAGCAGCCAACATTTTAGAGATCAGAGGGGGAAGCGAACTCTGACTGACTACTAAACTCCGACAGCAAAAGGCAGGGTGGAAACTGAGGACGCATCTATCGTTTCCCTGGGTATTTTTTCATTCTGCTTTGTTCCCAGCACTCTTCAATAACTCATAGCCATTCCCAGGAGACCATGCCTTAAAGTCTCCCAGCATGGCCTCCCAGTCTTCGCAGCTGCCAGTGTGTGTACTAAACCTGTGAAATAGTCCCTGCCCCTTAGAGATTTTATCTAGTTGCAAAAAAAAATTTAAAAATTTAAATCACTGCAATTTATTTCTAATTGAGCTGCTATGTCAGCAGCAAGTCACCAGTACATCTCTAATAATATTAAAGACGGCGGTGCCTTTACCCCTGGAACCTTCTGTAAAAGCAACAATCCTTGAGCACAAAGAATCATCCCGCTCTTACTTTTACTAGCTTTGAATTTTTTAATTCCTCGTCTGCTTCAAAGAGAGCAACAGTCAAACAACAAATGAAGAGCCGTGTCCCAGAAAGAACTCAAGACAGCGGAGGATCCCCCAAGCTCAATGTACTTGCATTTTTACAAAAGGAAGTGGGCAAGAGGGCTGCCGAAGCTGAACTTTACAACAAGGCCTACTCCTTAGCAGATGGTCAGCCCTTATCTCTAAAGATAAGAAAGAAACACTGGAAGAACTTATGCATAGAAAAGGTCTTTTCACTTAAAAATACTTTAATATAAAAAGGACCAGGACTAGAATTCAACACGTTCGGAACCTGTGATAGTCATGCACTGGTGAGTGCATTCACATCTCCGTTCAACTCCACCACCACTTTGAAAAAGTGGACTCTTCTCATTTTACACATACACAAAGCAGCTCGGGAGTGAAGTAATTCTCCAGCGTCTCACTGCTACACTAATGGCAAAGTCACAACCTGAATCCAAGGCTGTAATCTCTATGGAAGCAGACTGCCACATCTTTCTCCCACGGAGAGAAGGGTGGGTTCAAATCGTCAACCTTCTAGGTTAGCAGCTGAGCTTTGACAGCTGTGCCACCAGAGCTCCTAAGTCAACCTTAAGGGAGTTGATAAGCTAGATGCTGACCTTGTAAAGCTGTATCTAGACCTTAAATGAGTCTGAAAGAGCTGGAGGCACTTTAAGAGAAATCAAGTCATCATACAAAGGCTACCCCCCCATGGGGGTCCCTTTTCATATAAAGTGAGGAGAAACATGAAACATATGACCCTAGAAGCAACTAGGTTTTTATAAACCTGCTCTATCTAAAAGAAGTGTCTTTTCATCAAGCTCATAACTGGAAAGGTTTCTCTGTACAAACAGCTGGATTGAGAAAATTGTAGTTTTCAAGACTCAAATGGAGGGAGGCCCAGAATTACAAGTATAGAGGAAAAACAGTTACAAACATGAAAGCGGTACAAGAAACAAGTCTGAAGCAGGCTAGGATGGTGCAGAGGACAACGAGGCAGGCATGTAAATGTTACATGCCTACCCGGCAGACCACAGGCAGTAAAAAAGAGAAGCTAAGTTTGATACAAAACTTAACAGTCAAAGGAAAGGAAGGGGTCACCTGAAGCGGTTAAAAAAAACTGATAATCCTGTCAAATATTGACAGGAAAGAGCTTGGCTGAATTTTACTTCGTTTTGATTAAGGACACAAGGCAGTGAGGGCTGATGCTTCATTCACAGATTTGAACAATTACTGGAAAACTCAATATTCACTAGTGGCCTGGCTTGGATGGAAGACTGTTATGTAATTAGCCGTGAACCCCTTATGCAGCTGACCTGTCATTTCACCTCAAAAATTCTGACCTAGTCAACATCAGAACCGACTAAGCACACACTAAAAATCAGGCATGTTGTGGACACTGCAGGCTCTTACGGACGAGAAGGTAGAGGAGGAGGAAGGCAGATACAACATTTAAGGTCTTCAGGTACCTGCTTTGGCACTGCCTGGATGTTAATCTAGTTTTGTACCATTAACATCATATTCTGAACCTGAAAGCCAAGTCCAATTACTTTCACACCCAAGGTAATGCAACCTCAGGTATTTCTCTAAATAGAAAGTCTCATATTCATGCTAAGGCATTTAAAAAATAGTCCTTACGTTTTCGGACTTCAAGCAGTTACCTGGTTGAAAAGAAAACCCTATCATACTTTAAGTAGGGAAGACCCGCACTCTTACTGGAGAATCTTAGACATGACTAGACTACATTTTATTGTAACCCCAGGATAATTCAGTGTCCAGTAGGATAATAATCCCCTTACAAGGGCAGCCTCCTGAAAGTTCTCAGCCAAAGACTGCTTTTGAACACATCTGAACCCTGATACCAAAATTCTCTAAGTGTGAGCTTTGGGTCTCTGGCCCACAAGAACAGCACATAAATTGTGGGCCTGTCTTACGTCCAACACTATTTTACTGACGCCAAAGCCACTGTGGAAAAGGGCCATAAGCCTGAAGGTTAGGCAAACCCCAAGGGCATCAAAATGTCAATCTAACCTTTAGTAAGAAACACATTCATTTCCTTATTCAAAAAACAAGCTGATTCATACAACAGTCACAGTAGACGTTCCATGTTCATATTGAAAAAAATTTTTTTTTTTTTAAATATACACAGCTGAAATTAAATGACAGATTTTAAAAGGCTAAAGATTTATCCAGAAAGCACTGCTTCTGCAATTTCTCCCATCACGGAGGGGGACAATACCGAATTCTGGGTTGAAGAACTTTCGTATACAACACAAATAATCAAAATTTTTTTGATACTCACAAACCTCTTACTGCCAGAGCAGATACCCCTATTTTGTAAACAAGGCCCCTTCAAAGGGCCTTACCCAAAGCGTTAAGAGCTCCTTCTACAACATGTTTCTTCCTCAACAATAGAGAAGCCATCTCCCACTCTCCTTAGAAGATCTACAAACTGTAAGTGCACACTGCTAGATCCAATCAAGACTCCTAAGAAACACTAAGGACTACAAAATATTTTAACTTCTGAAGTAAATTTGCCAATACACAATACAGGGGAAGTTAGCACAATTGGACTAAACCAAACGCTAAGAAGTTTCCTGAATACAGCTAAAAACTTTGAGAGACAGAGCAGCAGGGGTGGGGGGCTGGGGACCATGTTTTTAAGGGACATCTCGGTCAACTGGCATAACAAGGTTTATTAAGAAAATGTTCTGCATTCCACTTCGGTGAGTGGCATCTGAGGTCTTAAAAGCTAGCAAGCGGCCATCTAAGATCCATCAATTGGTCCCAATCCACCTGGATAAAGTAGAATGAAGAACACCAAAGACACAATGAAAATATTAGCCCAAGAGACAGAAAGTGCCACATAAACCAGAGACTCCATCAGCCTGAGACCGGAAGAATTAGATGGCACCTGTCTACCACCAATGATCGCCCTGAGAGACAAGGAGAAAAGTAGGGTGCAGAACTGAAGTTCTCTTAAGAAGACCAGACTTAATGGTCTGAGACTGGAGGGACCCAGGAAGACACGACCCCGACTCTCTGTTAGCCCAAAAAACTAAAACCATTCCCAAAGCAAACTCTTTAGACAAAGATTAGACTGGACTATAAGACATAAAATGATACTTGTGAAGAGCGTGCTTCTTAGCTCAAGTAGATACATGAGACTAAATGGGCAGCTCCTGTCCAGAAGCGAGATGAGTAAGGCAGAAAGGGACAGGAGCTGGCTGAATGGACAAGGGAAATCCAAGGTGGAAAGGAGAAGTGTGCTGTCACATTACAGCGAGAGCAACTACGGTCACTTAATAATGTGTGTAGAAATTTTTGTTTGAGAAACTAACTTGAACTGTAAACTTTCACTTAAAGCACAATTTAAAAAAAAAAAGAATTAAATTTGCACAAATCAGTCTGCCAGTGGGGAAAAAATTAATGTTTCATTAAAAACAAAGATCTGAGCCTCTGG